GGGGTCGGGTCTATGTGCACTGTATCCTTGAATTGTCCCCTCACTATAGCTACTGTGGATCAGTATACAGCTATCCTTACTCAACGCGTCTATGTGTCCGGCAATCTCCGATACCGATCAACCTGTGAGCTTTCCGTATACAGCTTTCGTCACTCAATGCGTCTATGTGTTCGGCAGTCGCAGGCGTCACTCAACCCGTTAGGTCTCAACATGCAGCCATCCTCACTCAAAGCGTTTGTCTCCGGGGGGGGGGGATATTTTGAACAAATCCCCAGGGTTCGACAATTTTCACGCGCGCGCGGGATCACACACAGAGCTAAGTAGTGGGAATTATGGAACACCCCCAGGCTACACGTCAATCTTGGTTGCGAGGAGGGGGGAGTTACATAGGATATCATGTGACGATACCAAAGCCAGTACAAAATGCATTATGTGGGTTTTAGAATGCGGCACGAAAGCCTATGATGAAGAATAGACTATGGACACACTAAATCCTACCATTACATAGTAGACTGCTGCAAGTGAGCCGCCTAATGTGGCTATCCTGCGTGTCATTCTTGGCCCGGGGGAGTGGGTGTGTGGGTGGGGTGTTCCACGGTTTCTACATGGAGGGCCCCTGGTCCAGTGCGATAGGCCCATGCAAGTACACCTGTGATTGGATGATTGGATGTAGTATACACTTCCCCCCCAAAAAAACTTGGCAACGCTTGTTCCACCGCCGCTGTCAGCTGTTCCACGGCGGTTCAACTGTAACAACCTCCCCTCTGTTTGATGAGGTGTTCGAGGTTCGAGGAGGAAGTCTCGGGGAAGATTGTTACTGGTCGAGATCTAGTTGGGATGCAACAAACAGCATGCCCCCCGAAAGCCCACAAGTCTAGGTAAACTGCTATCACAGGGGTGGTGCTGGGGACGGACACATGTAGCCGTGTACACCATATGAATACTTGCTGGAGGAAACGAGCATCTATTTGGCCCGTAGCCCACAAGTGGCTATTCATCCCGCCGTCTTGCCTACCTGGGCGCCCGCTGCGGCGGCTTCCCTGACAGCGCTCTCCGCAGTGGCAATGTTCACCAACTTGTCGCTACCGCAGAGAATCTGGCAAGCCGCCACCACAAACTGCCTTGACCCTGCCCCTCCTGCGGCTCCCTCCGAAGCACGAGAGGCACTCATCGAGATCAACCGCCTCGAAAGCAACGATATGTTCCTGCTGATGCTGCAAGCAGCGTATGCTGTCCGTGTTGCACCAGCAGCAGTGTTTGTTCGAGCGTTGGCTAGTTTTGGAGAGTAAAACGCAGCGATTGTTGACGTTTTCACCGCCAGCGAGAGCAAGATGGGGCTGGCTCTTCTCGCGGCAGCGAGGAACATCCACAATGCGATAGTCTTTCGGCCGGGTAGCAACTGACGGAGAGACGGCGATGAAGATTTTGCGTGCGTGCCGCGCTATTGACTGCCACCAACCGCAGCCGAGTTGTGTGGGAGTGTGTGAGTTGAACACGCGATTTCACGTGAAATGCACAATGGGAGATCTGCGGCGAGATTGCAGCGGCAAATTTCGGAGATCTGTATGATCGCCTGCCGGGCAAGCTATTTTGCTGGTGGTGACAGCACGAAATGCCCTTTGGCACGCCTTGGGGTTCACACGCTCCACACCATACTTCGTGGAGACTCGGAGATCGCTCCCTTTCGTACGATCCAGTCGGGGGCAGTGAATACCTCAATGCATGCGGACTCGAACCGCCGTTCCATTTGCGGAATAACAAGAAGGCTGCAACACTGGACCACGGACAGCAGTGCTTCAACAGGACACGAGGAACTCGAACCGCCGTTCCATTTGCGGAATAACAAGAAGGCTGCAACACTGGACCACGGACAGCAGTGCTTCAACAGGACACGAGGAACTCGAACCGCCGTTCCATTTGCGGAATAACAAGAAGGCTGCAACACTGGACCACGGACAGCAGTGCTTCAACAGGACACGAGGAACTCGAACCGCCGTTCCATTTGCGGAATAACAAGAAGGCTGCAACACTGGACCACGGACAGCAGTGCTTCAACAGGACACGAGGAACCGATCTACTCACGAACGGCTTTTGGCCCGCTTGTACTCAGTTGCACGAAGGTGAGAGAAGAGGTATGCATATGTGCGCCGTTTTAGCTGTTTTAACGGTTGCTTCATGTTTGTTTGCTGCCCTCCTGTTCCAATTCTCGTTCGAGCAGCACACATCACATCATGTTAATTAATTGTACAAGGGCTCCGGACGCGGGGGCTACCGCCCCCCCCGTCCTTCGTTTCGGCCGGTGCTCTATACGGAGAGGAAAAGGTTGAGTTTGGGAAGAAGTACAGCGTTGAAACATAAACCAAGTGGGACGGGCTTAATGTGGTCAGGATGCGATTTATTATTTTCCCGCCACAAACTGAAGATTTGACCGGAACTATACTCCGGCGCTACGTGAAGTACATGCAATCTCGATATGCGAGATTTTCGGACTTGCGATGTACACCTCACTCGTCGAACCGTGTGAAAACATTCCCGTGAAGCAGAGCTTAGAAGATGGCTCTTACATGTTACAAAGAAAACAACGCAGTCGCAACTTCAATGTGGTACTCTAGTATGAACTCTTACGTAATACTCTAGACGAGACGTTATCTAGGCCGGAACTATTCTTCGGCGTTATGTATACACGCATAGTAGAAAAAATACAACTCTAAATGTACTTGGCATTTGTCAAAAGCCGCTCGTCTAATTGTAGCACGTGGCAACAGAAGGTACTTTGCAATGTGAAGTATTTACTTGGCTACTTACATGTCTAAGTCGCAATCTCGATATGCGAGATTTTCGGACTTGCGATGTACACCTTACTCGTCGTACCGTGTGAAAACATTCCCGTGAAGCAGAGCTTAGAAGACGGCTCTTTCATGTTACAAAGGAAACGACGCAGTCGCAACCCTGATGTGATACTCTAGTATGAACTCTTATGTTATTCTCCAGACTAAGGCGTTATCTAGGCCGGAACTATTCTTCGGCGTTATGTTTACAGTACTGGGCCCGCTATAGTGCCGATTGGATAGTGCCGATGCCCGGTATAGCGCCGGTAAAATCTCTGGACACAGAAAGCGCCTTCAATAGTGCCGGTTGGGCACTATTGAGGGCGGACCCTCTATAGTGCCGATTGGGCACCACGGCGCCCCGCAATAGTGCCGGTTCACACACACACGCCAGCTGACACACACACACACAAGACAGCGGACACACGCAACACAGAGGGTACACGTGCTGCTGCAGACCCGAAGAGTTTTACGCAGAGGCGCACCATGCCTTGTGCGGAAGGTGAACTGTGCCTTCAACAAGTCAGGACGCCTCAACCCTCTCATGGCCACCCCTGCAAGGGAGGATGTGGCGGGCGGCTCCACGGCAATTGCGGCAGCGTGTTTGTCAAGACCTACCCTCCGCTGTGCACCGCCGTACACCAACCCATGGATTTGGGGGTCATCGCCAAGGCGAAGGTCAACTACGGGAAGGAGCTGCTCGATGTGAAGACATCAACCATGTTGGTGGCTGACACACTTCGCGCCCAGGCCAAAGCCCGCAAGATGAAGGCCGGGACAATGGGGATAGCGCAAGGGCACCAACCTCACGTGCGGGACGCCGCTGAACTTCTCCAGAAAGCATGGGCCAGCGTCACCGCCCAAGACATCGCCAGGTGAGGTTTGAACATGTGATATCGCCGTTTTAAATGTGTAGCTCGCGCAAGTTCGCATGGGTTTGGTGGTAGGTTACGTGGGTAAGGTTGTACGGATAGGTTATATTTTTCGACTGAATATTCCCGCAACCGCAAATCTCCTTGTTTCTTTGCTAAAAAACGGCCCTCTCTCGCATCCCTATGAGTCATTGGTTGTCACCGGGTTCGTCTAACATCGCTTCTCCACCCGAACACGGATGCATCACAATTTTTGCGCTACCTGGCCAAGTGCTTTGTCAAAGCCGAGGCGCTTCCGGAGGAGATGGCGGCTGAGCTCACCAAGCAACACGGAAAGACCCGGTTCAACGTCGCCGAGCCTGACCTGAAGGCTCTCGCAGAGACTGTCAACACGTTGAGCACGAGCGTGCAGGACGCGCAGAAGCAGGGATCCCGCGTCGTGGACGAGGAGATCGGCGAACTGTTGGCAGAACTCAACATTGAACCCGGAAAGCCGGTCGCGGGGCAAGCGGTGGCCGCAATTCAGGGGTGGGCTACCATCGAGGGCGACGAGGAGGTGGTAGAGGCTCTTCGATTGGACGCGGTGGAAGACATGACAGCACTGCTGGCTGGAACAAACTTGTCTACCGGCGGTGACGACGAGGAGGACGAACAGGACCAGGGCGGCGGCGGTGCGAACACGGGGCGCGAGCGCCGGGCCCCACGTGCGCCACCGGGTTATGAAGAACCGTCGTCTCACTTCGGCGCCCTGGAAGTGGCAGCAGAGGACAGTGGCAACGGAGACGCGGCGTTCTACCTAACGAAAGCGAAGATGTCGATGATCGCAGCGCATTCCGCTAGGCGGGTGCGCCAGACAGACATTAGAGGATTTGTCGCGACGTAGAGTTCATGGTTGTTTCTTTTTCTTGCGGTTCGCTTCCTGTCGTGTACTTGTAGTTTTTGTTTTTTTTTCTTGCAACATCGAAGCGGGTACGCCAGGCAGACACTCCAGTGTCGCGACGTAGTTTGGGGGGGAGATGCAACTGTAGTTAGTGCAGTAGTATTGATTTTTGTTTTCTTGCAGTGCGCTTCCTGTCGTGTTTCTTTTTCTGTTTTGTTGTTTGTATCTTGCAACATCGAAGGAGGGGCTCTAGGGCTGAGATATAGCTACATCCGCTCTGTACGAACGGGAGCTTTACAAGCATCTCNATTGATTTTTGTTTTCTTGCAGTGCGCTTCCTGTCGTGTTTCTTTTTCTGTTTTGTTGTTTGTATCTTGCAACATCGAAGGAGGGGCTCTAGGGCTGAGATATAGCTACATCCGCTCTGTACGAACGGGAGCTTTACAAGCATCTCGCCGTCAACAGCAGTTTCGACAGTTCAGGGTGTGCAGTACACTTCATGTGCTGAGGCAGGCAGAAAATAACGGTGCAACATGCAAGTAAATATTTTTTACAACTCGCCCTCTGTGTGTGCGACAGGGGGGAACCATACTTGTCGCGAAAAAGGATGCCTACGCCCACGATAGACCTTCACTATGTTTGATCCATTTCGTACTCTGTTAGCCCCGCAACGCATGAGCGCCACAGCATGAAATCAAACATCTCCTCAATAGTGCCGGACCGGCACTATTGAGGGATATTCGATACCTCAATAGTGCCGAATCGGCACTATTGAGGCACTATTCTGATTATTGCCGGTGCCCTCAATAGTGCCGATATTATCTCTGGGCACATACCGGCACTATAGCGGGCCCAGTACTGTACATGCAAAGTAGAAAATATACAACTCTAAATGTACTTGGCATGTAGACGTACGTGTCAAAAGCCGTCTAATTGTGGCACGTGGCAACAGAAGGTACTCTGCAATGGATGTATTTAATTGGCTACTTACATGTAGTCGCGAACAGTTCGTGTAGAAAGTACAGTACTGGGCCCACTATAGTGCAGGGGTGTGTCCAGAATTTTTACCTGCACTATAGCGGGCACCTGCACTATTCAGAATCATGTGTCAATAGTGCAGGTTCGGCACTATTGAATTATGAGTATACCTCAATAGTGCAGGTCCGGCACTATTGAGGGGATGTTTAGTTTCAAGGTGTGACGCTCATGCTTTGCCGGGCTAACAGAGAACGAAATTGATCGAATTACAGTATTGCTGGGCTCTGTTCTAGCGTGGGCGTGGGCAGACTGTCCCGCGACGCGTGTGGTTCCCCCCTGTCGCACACACACAGATGTTAAAGAAAATTCCTTGCAAGTTGCTCCGTTATTTTCTTCCTGCCCCAACACTCGCCCCCCCCCGTTGTTTGTCGTGGGGGGTGGGTTTTCGTCGCTCGGCAACGACGTTGTAAAAGAAGCCGCCGCCCCCGGTGTTTGCCATCGGGGTTGGGTTTTCGTCACTTGGCAACGACGTTGTAAAACAAGCCGCCCCCCCCGGT